AAATAGTCCCAAACTTGCTTTGATTATTAATTGGAATTCCCATTAATAGATGGCAAGAACACATGAGCAACTAGCTGCCCGTGTGCAGACAGGGAGGAAAGAACAACAAATAGTAAGCATGAGGTGATTTGTCCTAGCATCTCCACCAGGTAAGGAACGGTAAAGTCTTACGCAATGGCAGCCAGACACTGCAAATAAGCTGTAACAGCAAAGCAGGAGATGTGCTTTGCTCATCCCACGGGATCCTGGGATCCCACAGAAGTGTATTCACTATTTCAGAGTGAAATTGTATTTTTCTGTTTCCCATATTCTCCTCTTGCGTTCAGCTGGCACATTGTGCAGTGGCAAGAAGTGGAGGTAAATAGCTCTCCTTTCTGAATAGGTAATACCTTCTTATTAAGGTATTACACATGACAAGTTTAAAATACCAGCTTATTTTATTAACTCTTTTCCTCTGTTTATTCAAAAGGCTAGGGAGAGAAGACAGTCTGTGGAAAAAAACCCAATCATTTGTTTCTCTTCTTCCTGTATTAGGTGTTACGGACGGGAGATGCTGAAAATGTTGATGAATCATCACAAATTTAAAAAGTATTTGAAAGAGTCTGCCCCCTCACGTGACTTGTTGGATGTTATGGCAACAATTCAGCAGAAAGTAAGTGCTTGGCAGGACAAATGTCTCCTTTAGGCAAGTCTTGAGATTGCTAATATGAGATTAAACAGGCCTGATCTTTCTTTGTATCATTCTTCTTCCGCTAAATCATTTTCTTCCTGGGAATCACTTGTTGATCCTTAGTCTGTTTATCTAGAGAACAAACTAGTATGATTAGAAATAAAGTGGATGTATTTTGAGTATCAGCCACAAAGAGGAAAGGGAAGTAGGACAAAATGGTTTTACCTTCCAGTTTGAAAAAACCCAGCCCCTCCATCCCCCCACCATTACAATACAGCAAGGAAGTGAGAACAGTGCTTCTGAAGGTAACAGAGGTCTTTGCAACACATGAAGGAAGTAATAGTGCCATGAAAATTTCCAAATATACAAAAGCAGCACAAGGCAATCATCATTATTACACCTATTGTCTGTATTCTGGGAATGCTGCCCTGCTGTCATGCACTGCGGAGCTGGAAGAAGCTTTGTGAATTCAGCATCCAGTGACAAATTATCCCTATTTTTGTTGTTCTTTCATTCCTCTCCGTTTACAGTCTAGAAAGTAATGAGCCTTTGTGCAGGAACAGGGAGCGTGAGTGTGAACCAGACCAACTCCCAACACAACGGGCCAACCTGCAGAGTCCAAAAGTTTCCCACTGTTCCCCTTAAGAAGGCTTGTTCCCTGCCAGTTCACATTATTCTCATTTGTGCTCAAGATTAAGGAATTCAGGATCTTGTACTGCTGCACGTTATGGCAGCCCCTATAACCTGCCTTGGGTTATTGAAAACCAATAGTCAACATCACGGCACCTCTGGCCTGTCTCCCCCTCTAAGTTATGAAAGGTTTTCCTAAGCCTTTCTTGGTAGCAGCGATCCTGGTTGTAACTTGTGTTTTAAACAAGTCATTTGCTGTATTATCTTCTATAGATTCATGGTTTTTTATATACACTTGTAGGAGACAGAAGAAAATAAATGTGCACCTCCATCTGCCAAGGACCGCAGGAAGTCTAAGAACAGCGGCTTGACGAAGGCCCAGGACAACCTACCTCACGATGGAGGGTACTGAGCACTTGGGTTCTATCTGACAATGCACATGACAAGCTTTCCATGTCTCTTCCTCAGCAGAATCTGTCTGGGCGAGATGAGCCGGAGGTTGTTTCCTTGCCCTAAAAATCTTCTGTGATAAAAACCGTCTGCTTCTGCACTAGGCTGAACACAGCTGCCCTTGGAGGGTTTTCACAAAAACTGAGAGAGGGGAAGAGACACCCGCTGGCTGCAGCTCAGGAGATCCAGTGCAGTGGCCAGAACAGCGCTGGGGAGGCTGTGGGAGGGTGGTGCCTCTGCTGTTTGACTTGGGACAAGTAATTTCAATCAGGGTATTCTTATCTGAGGAAAGTCTTTTTAAGACGGGTGGTTTGATGGGAAGTCTCAGTCTAGAACCAAGATGCCATTCCCAAAAGGAGCACTTTCCACACCTGTGGTTTGGCCTGCCTTTCTGACCCCCACGCAGTACCAGCAAGACAATTCCTGAGCAGTTCTGGTTAACAGATGTCTCAGTGTGGCCTTTTTCTGCAGCTATTCATGTCATTCAGGCCCATTACTGGTTGGTTGATGCACAGCATGTTTTTCCCCTCTGTGCTGCAGTCACTGTTTGAGAGAGGAATTTGGTCCTTGCTGTCC